ATAAAACTCAATGTTTGTATGTGTATACACTTGAATCCCCGAAAATTTATGCAAAGTTATGTGTTTGTTTGCACGTGTGAATAAATATTAGTTAAAAGAACATGAAGAAATAAATATGGTATTACCATTCCTAAAATGCCAGCATGTATCTTAGATCTTGGCCATCTTCGTTGACCTTACTCCATGAAAATAGTTCATTTGCATTTTCAGATTTAAAAAAAAACATTTTTCTCACAGAAATCTCTTTTTTATATTAATTTCTATTGTAATTAATTAAATAAATAAATCATTATAATTCAACTGCTTTTTCTTTTATATGCTATGACCGTACAGGATAAGCGATTGTGGCTCTCCACAAAAGCCTGTCTTTTGCCACTATAAATAGCTTTTGAGCCTTCACCAACTTTCTGTATCTTTGTACAGCTAGCCTCAAACTTTCTAAATAGGTTACTCAATGTTTGCACCCCCCGTTCCTCTTTTATATTTCCTATGTGTGTTAAATTATAAGCCTTTTTCTCATTATATTCGAAACTTTTCTACTGTCTATTGATTGTAACTATAAGTTTTGTAGCTCCTACTTTCTTGTAAACATCATTATTGACCACATTTTCTGTCTAAGATATTATCAGCATCCATTGACTCAAGTCACTTCTGTAAGGTGATCGTGGCGTTCTTTACTTCAGGCCATCTCATAATGTAATTGAAGGCCTGTTTTAAATTTCATTGTTCCACAGGGAGCACGACATTTTAGTTTAGGTTTGGCTTTGTAGTAGTTTGATGTTGTCGGCTTAAAATATACTTGGATTTTACACTCGGAAAACTTGAAGTATAAGATTTATTTACTTATTTTATTTCCTTCACAGTTGTTAGATTATTTTAGGTTTACTGCAAAAACAATTTTTTTTTCACCACTATAAATTGTAATTTAGAACTCTTGGTCTTGTTAATTGTAATTTAACATTTTTTCAGTTAAAAATTAATTTAACATTTTTCTCCATTAATTTTCTATTCAAGTAAATATTCTAATGACCAGCTTTATTTATTTACTAACTTAAAAGTCGCACTCCGTGTAGGCTTTTAAGCTAACTCCTGCGAATGGTTAATCTGGTCCAGATTAGAAAGCATCAATGATAATTTTGAAGAAATAACTTTGAATTTCTCAATTAACTAGATGGAGATTCAAAATCTCACATTAACAGTGATTAGGGTTATTCAGTCCAATTGCAAATAAAAAACCGATTTGGACCGAAGGTCCGATTTGGGGCGAAATTCCACTTCAGGCCGAAAATTGGTTTCTTCAAATCACAAACACCGTGGAAGGTCAATTAAGTTGAGAGCATTAAATGAGAAACTCTTTGTTTTGTTTCTCTTTATTTATTTTCAATATGCACACACACACACACACACATATATATATATATATATATATAAATATATATATGTATGTATATGTGGGAATTTATACGTGTGTGTGTGTGTGTCTTAAAAAGAAAGAAAGAAAGAAAGAAAGAAAGAAAGAAAGAAAGAAATAAAGAAAGGGGAGTGTGGGAGGGAAACAAAATGATATAATGAAAAGAAATATCCGCAAGAATACGAAACGCAGAAGACAAAGCAAGGTAGATAGATAGATAATGAAGAGACTGAGATAGATAGATAGATAGATAGATAGAGATAGAGATAGATAGAGATAGATAGAGATAGATAGATAGATAGATAGATAGATAGATAGATAGAATGATGAATGAATAGATAGATAGATAATGATAGACTGAGATAGATAGATAGATAGATAGATAGATGAATGAATAGATAGATAGATAGATAAGAGACTGATAGATATAGATAGATAGATAGATAGATAGATAATGAAGAGACTGAGATAGATAGATAGATAGATAGATAGATAGATAGATAGATAATGAAGAGACTGAGATAGATAGATAGATAGAGATAGATAGATAGATAGAATGAATGAGATGAGATAGAAAATAATAGATAGATAAAACAGAAGATAGATAGATAGATCGAATGAGATAGAAATGACAATGATAGAAGATAGATAGATAAAAGAAAAACAAACAAAACATCGAATGGTGAAATGACAATGATAAGAAAGAAGAATGGAAAAGAACACAAAAAGTAGGCAAAAGAACACAAAAAGAAAACAGCAAACAAGAAAAGAAAAGATTTTGCCTAAAATCGCTATCATAATCTTGCCGTCCTAAGACAAACGAGGAGAGTGACACAAAGCAAACAGAAAGACAATAAAGCAATCATTTGGGACGCGTGCAAAATTATACATGGCCTGAGTCAGGTAAACAAACTTCACAATAAGCCCCTTTTATAAAACTCAATCGGAACGTTTTCTCATTCCCCAGTCAGTAATAAGATTAGCCTCTGCCCATCCTTACGACGTACATCGTCAAATGCCGTCACCGGCTCCACGCGCCCTCTTACACACTCTCGCAGTCACAAATTCGCTTGCATCTCAACCACCCCAATGAATATCTATCTACGTTCTCAAAGAGGAAATTCACTTGTATAAACACAAGATGAACGAGTATTTATTACATCACGTGCACACACACAAGACGCGCATGCGCGAATACGCACATGTGCAAAGCGTACTTCAACTTCAATTTAAACGACACGTCGATCCAAACAAACATGATATCTTACTAGTGGGGACTGCGGGGCGGGGGTGGGGGGCTGGTGGTGCTGAAAAGTTATCAGCCCGATCCACTTCCCGAAATCTGGCCAAACATCAGAAGGATGCCAAGACCAAATCGAGAATATTTTTTCAGCGCCCCCCGTGTATGACGGAGAATCAGTGTCTGTAGCTTGTTACTTCTACCGAAATTTTGTTAAATCATTTTTCATATAATGTTTGATCGATGTCAACACCTGAATCATGTGCATTAACAAAGAAGCAAACTATGATTCTTGTATGAAATAAATATTTGTTGTTGAGCTACTCAATATATTTTAATTACTTTCTTCTTCTTCTTCTTCTTCTTCTTCTTCTTCTTCTTTGTCTTCCTCTTCTTTTCCTTCTTTTTCTTCGTCTTCTTGCTCTTCTTCTTTCTTCTTCTTCGTCCTCTTCTTTTTCTTTCTTTCTCTTCCTCTTCTTTTTCTTCTTGCTCTTCTTTTTTTCTTCTTCTTTTTTCTTTCTCTTCCTCTTTTTTCCTTCTTCTTTTTCTTCGTCTTCTTTTTCTTCACGCTCTTCTTCTTCTTCTTCTTCTTCTTCTTCTTCTTCTTGACGTGTCCCTTCTGGTTGTGCAGGTGATGTAATGGTTAGCGGCTCGGAATGAAAAATCGAAGCGCTGAGTTCGAATTCTAGTCGGGTTCGTTACCATCACACCACCAGCTAAAGATTAAATCGTAGAACAGACTGAGCTCTCGAACAGTGTTAGCGGTCCGTTTTCTCGGATGACAACTTTGAATTCAAAACCCCTACATAGACCTAGCGAAGCACACACCATGCAACTAATGAAACGGGCGTGTTATTCAAAATGGCGCTATGATCCCGACTGTGGTCAGGTTTGGTTGGTCGGTTCAGGAATATGAGTAAACATGGCTTTCCTCTATCTACTACCTTGTGTAGATCTTAGCATCATTTGTCGTTTTGCCATTCCCAAACTATCTGTTCTGTCATCCATTCATACAAGCTCGTCAGGTAGGTGGCCTGCTGCATTTCCCAGACACTTTTGTTTTTTTTTTATGTGTCCTGGGAACTTCAAATTCTAAGAGCCTAGAATCAATCAATCAGGTCGAGGATTCTTCGCGGATTCTACTGACTCGTTCCTTCCAGCTATCTCTGTCAGGTATCGCCGTCGGCAGGCTCTCAAAATGGCCTCCAGATTCATCTACAAGTTGGTCAATGTAGGTGTGATCAGGCCTTCCAATTGATCTTTTGTCGCGTAATGGGGTATCACTCACAAGTTTTGACTTACTCCTCCATGAGTGACCAGCTAACCGAAACCTCCTGTCTCTTACCGAAACTGAGGTAGGAGGACAATCTATACAGGCGTTTCTTTGTTGGGTGTTTCTTCCAGCTGATGTCTAATGCAACTCGCAAAATCCTTGTGTGTGTTCCGTCAAGTGATGCTTCTTTTGTCAGTGTCCATGTTATTGAGCCGTGTAGCAAGACAGATTCTCTACCGTAGCCTTAAAAAAAAGTCTCTCTTAAGATTGTCAGAGGGAGGACTTCCAAATGGTGCTCTGACCATCAAGGACACCCCAGGCCTGTCCTTCGTGGATTTTGATGTCTCTCTCTGTTGACTGGATTTTGCTGTCATGGTAAACAATTTCCTGGACGAATTTGATGTCGTTGCCGGTTTTAAACTTAACTACGAGCCATATTTCCTCATTATGTGTCGCAAATATTTAATCTGTCTCTGGGTATAAATTCCCTTTTTGTTGCTATTTTTTCTTTACACTTTGCTTATGCGCTCCTTCCATGGTATTCTCAGCATCCTTCTGTAGAACGACATTTGTTGTCTCTTAACCAAGTTTTCTCTTAATCTTTGAACAGATTGTGCAGCATTCTCTGTCATATAGGAGGATTAATGGTGTTTTTTTATATCTAAAGCAAATGTTTTATGCGTATGTTTTTGTGTACATGAACCTGCGATTAGTTTTATAATTGTAAATATCAGTGGACCAATTGTATCACAAAACCTTACGGTAATCTGTAGCTTCTGTTAAATCATTTCCGCCAAAAGTGTAGCATGAACACGTACAACTCCCTCTACTGCTCGCCAATGAATAATGTACCTGATTTGCGTCACTAGAAAGTGACAGTACCCGGATACAAATATTTCCTGATTCATTATCCAACCGACACTCTATGGTCATTCCAGTAACTCAATTATTCCATCTCAAATATAATATTTATATCTTATTAGGGAGAAGGTAGTCTATCATGCTGTATTTGTGAATTGTAAATTTTAAAAAGAACTTAATTTTACCGGAGTGAATGTGGGGGTGGTGTCCTCGGAGAATCAAGTTCGAATTCCGGTCGAGTTCGTTACATTTACTTACAAACAAACACCTTTGTGAAAGGTACGAATCTATCTCTTCTCCTAAACTGGGCGCTATAGCTTTGGCTGGCAAGCAGTCTAGGAGAAACCCTGAACACGAACAGGCGTAGAGAAGGTTTGGGTTCCGTCAGAATATCTTGCCCAAGAATGAGTTTTACAACAGCAGCTAAGCATTTTTCCTGCTATATTGTATAAATTTTGTGTTTCTTTTTTACAGTAAGGTTCTTTTTTGTTTCTTTTTTTACAGTAAGGTTCACCTTGTACAAGGCCCGGGACCACTCGAGGTAGAGGGTTACGTTAAGGGGTAGTTTATATGGATAGAACGGAAATATAACGATTAACCCTAGACTTGAACAGATTAATATTCTAGTGATTGAGGAAACATCCTCTTGGGAGTCAGTTCCACAGAGCAGCGGTTTGCGAAAGAATAAGGAGGGGATGAGGTTTGCTACGATGTAAGTGGCATGACGGGTACTAGCCGTGAAGGTTAGAATTGACGGACCCAAAGAATGTAGTTCGTCCGAGCACTTTCCGTAGAAGTGGCGATAGAGAAGCGAGGGGCTTCCCACTTCCCGCCTATGAGAGAGAAGTTGTAGGGCGGAAAATAATTCGTCACCTACAAGGACTGGAAAACGCTTCTGAACTCTATCGAGACCGGAAGGTGAGGATAGCCAAATGTGACGACAGTACTCCATCTTCAGCCTGATCAGGGTCTTTTAAAGCTAGAGAATAACACGAGGAATCAGGTACTTACTGGAGCGGTACAGGGAGCCGACCATGAAACATAAACATTTGCTGCTCTTCCTGGAATGGGCCGTAAGTCTAAAACTTTGAGACTGTGAAGAAAGATTTTTCGTGAATGCAAGAAAAACCCTAAAGTTGGGCTGAAAGATAGTCTTTCTGATTTTTCAAATCATTGAGTAATTATATCAGGTCGTACGGTAAATAGGTTGCTCAATAAATGTCTTCTCTCTAGTTACCGTCTAAGAAAAATAGATTTATTCAAAAAGGCTTACGGCCAAATCACGTTGAAACACCTGTTTCCGTACGATCCCCGAAGTTAAGCAAAATCGAACCTGGTCAGTAGCAAGGTGGTTGACCGCTTGGGGATACCAGCTACTCTAAGCTTGCATACTGATGTAATGGATAAGGGTTGGGAATCGTTAATCGAAGATCCTAGTACCAATTCACGCTGAGTTCGTTGTATTCACTTACTCACTTGGGAAAGGTATGAATCCACCTCTTCTCCCCAGCTATGGGTTAAATAGTAAATTTTGTACAACTGAACCATTATTATCTAGAAAAAAATTATTCTTACAATCAAAAAATATTTTTGGCTTTAAATAACCTTTAAATATTCATTTATGCATGAGTAGAAGCATTTTCCCACATTTTCAGCACAATTTTATGTGTGTGTATTTCGGATGAAGGCGTATTATACATGGGGAATTTTTTATCTTAAAGGAAAATCTGAAAAATTCTACCAGACATCTCTTTGGAAGATGATGTTTAAATTTTCAAAAGGGAAAGGTATGAATCCACCTTTTCTTCCCCAGCTATGGGTTAAATAGTAAATCTTGTATCACTAAAACATTATTATATAGAAAAAACGTGCCTTCTTGGAAAACGACTTTTTTTATGGAGTAATGAGACTTCAAGTGAATTGTTTGCTCAGCGAGAGGGGAACCAAAAAGGAGAAGCTATGAACGCTAAGAATAACATTCTTAGTATAAAAGACAGGAGTGACAATCATGCTTGTCTTGGTGAAAATGGAACGGATCGATTACTTAGTCATCAGTAACATGAATAAAAAAAAAACAAGATACCGTAATTCCCCATGTATAATACGCATTTTTTCTAAAAAATCCTAAGCAAAATCAGGGGTTGCGTATTATGCACAAGTACAAAAAAATCTTTTAAAAATTCCCATAAAATAAAATAAGAATTATCCTAAAACTAAATTAGAATAATTTTATTCTATGATTTAAACCATTTTTTTAAAAAAATAAGAGTAGGAAACGCTGGCCTTGGTGAAAATGGAGAGGTACAATTTATAGGGTTCGATTACCAAACAAGGAGCGCGTATTATGCATGAGTAGAAGCATTTTCCCCACACTTCCCAATTTTATGTGTGCGTATTATGGATGAAGGCGTATTATACTTGGGAAATTATGGTAACTGTTATCTTAAAGGAAAAATCTGAAAAATTCTCCCAGACATCTCTTTGGAAGATGACGTTCAAATTTTCAACATGATAATAATCTTAATCACACACATGCACAAGTGAAAATTTGACTACAAGACCATTGGCTTAGTTTGGCTTTCAATGTGTTCGAACCTGAAGCCAACAGAAAATTTGTGGCGGGAACTTAAATTTTAGGTTAATTCAAACGACCATTAAATTTAGTAGGATTAGAGATTTTTTTTTTTTTTTTGAAGAATGGAAAACTGTACAGAAACAAATTTATTAACCACAGAAAATATTTACTTAAAGGTTATTGATCAGAATAACTATGCCTTAGATTATTAACTGAAGCGTTTGCATAATTTTGTTATTGATTATTTCCAGTTATTTTCATAAAATATCGAACAAAATCTTCCGAAATGGCGGCTTATCGAAATTCATTCATAGCCTAAGACTATCTAAGTTATTTATATATATATATATATATATCTTTTCAATATTTGAAAAATGAATTATATTTTTAAATAAAATGTACAGAGCCGGACGGATAATTCTGAGATTCATTATACATACCAACGGCTTTCCATACTTAATACTTCTCGTTTTCACTCTCGCGTGGTCACGAGCTGTGACGCGATTTTCGCTTCCGCATCTCGTATACACGAATTAGTCGTTTCTTTGAAATTTTTCATGCAACAAAAACAGGCTATCATTATTGTTTCGTCCGTGTATTGGTTGATATATTGAAAAGTAATTGTCATCTTTGATAATGGCTTATGTAAGCCGAAAGCTCAGATTGGATTTAAACATGTATCATTATGGTGATTTCTTTTCGTCCTTCAATGATAATGTTATTAAGCTTATCAGACAATATGAAAGGAACTTACTTAAAATAAATAGACAAAACTTGTCTATATTATTTAATGAAACATGCATTAATATATATATATATATATATATATATATATATATATATATATATATATATATATATATATATATATAGTTCAGGAGTTAAGTTTAGAGAAATTATTAATAAAACACGGGCAAATGAAAGGGTACCAATATAATCAGTATAATAAATATTTATTTAATATTTTAATTATTAACCATATGACAAAATGAAGAAAGGAGAAAAAGAATTTAAGCATGGAACTTTCGGAAACATTTCCCAATTCATCAACTTTTTGAAAAAAAACAGAAATATTTGAATTACTCACCGACAGATGTTTTTTGTAGATGGTGTGTTTTTCTTTTTTGGTGGAAATCGTATTTTTAGCAAAAATCCGACCTCTGTCTGCTTCCTCGATGCGAGAAACTGTTTATAAAAGTAAAATTAAAATTTTGATCGGTTAAAAAGCGTTAGGCAGGTGATATATTATTACAAAGTGTGATATCGTATGGGAGTGAATTGTAAATATAGAGATGTTTTTGGGGAGGAGGAGTTTTTTTTTTAAATTGTCCGATGAAGTTGTCAAGTGTAGAAAGGTGGGATGTGGTTAGAATATGATGTGATACCAAAAATCTGAGGAGGAAAAATGGAATATATAATAATGAAATATTATTGAATAAAATGAAATGAAAAGAAAAAAAAAACGAGGGTGACAAAAAATGGCCAAAAATTTGGCTAAAAGATTAGAAAAAGTGGATAAAGAAAATAAAAATAATCATATATAGATATATAGATATAATTATAATATATCATATATAAAGTGCTGCTGTTAATAAAACAGTGTTCAATGTAAAACAGCAGAGCTATATTAACATATTATGCAAAGTATAGATATTAACTCTCATCACCGATATACACGACTGGAGTTTCATAAAAAAAGACAATCATCAGGATTGTCTAAAATATATATGTCCAGATCTTGTTGACCATGTTCGTCGTAAATTTGAATATAGAATGGTTGAAGTCCGTAAAATGTTCAATATCAGAGGTTGGAAGTGAAGATTCGGAGAAAGTGGCTTTTCTTAAAATTCTTTAAGTCTTCGATATCAGAGGTTGGCAGTGAAGATATTTTGGGAGAAAAAAACAAAATAACTGCCTTTATACATGTCGGATTGAATATTTTGAATTTTCTGATTGGTTAACCCTTCTATTGAAACTATCGGGGACTCAGCTCATTTTGGTTGCTTCACTAGTACAAAAAATAAGGTATTCATTTTCAGTGATTATGGAATCTTCTTTCAAAATATTAGTAAATTAAATATAAATATATCATATGGAACAAATAATTAGTATATAAGAAAATCGTTTTTTTAGTATTCATAAAATTTTTTTTTTTTAATATTATATAATTTTTTTTTACAAACAAAAGAAATTTAAATATAACAAAAAAATTAGTTATATCATTTTAAAATAAAGTTAAGTACTTCAGGTTAATAAACATAATAACAACAATATTATAAATTTGGGTTATATAATCACAACAAAAAATTTGGATAAAAAATGTTATTTGTTATTATGATGGGACATAATTAAAAACAATTTGACCATTTCCGGCTCAGAGTTTTTTGAGAGTCATTCATGGAAGAAAAATAAATTTATAGGACTATTTACGTTTATAACCTGAAAATAAGGATTTAGATTCATATATAAAACTGACGTTTCTTAAGACAATAATTATAGGTCAGTACCAAATATGACATTAAATGAAAGATAAAATTTCACATATTTTGTAATTGTCTTTGTAAATAAATCCAACACGTTATTCGTCAACATAGTTAAAAATACATATGAATAAAAATAACCCATTGGTAAAATTGGAAAATATGAAAAGTTGCAATAAACATTCTGAACAAGATATCTGTTGATTTTGGGATCTGATCCCTAAAAATATATTACAATCATTTAATTATTTTAATACATATATCAATATTATATCCTTTGGAGATGTAATTTTCATTCCAGTGACGTGTTTTTGTAATCTTTTTAACATATGAATTATGACAGTATTTATTATTTTATACAATATCCTTAAAATATAAAGACTGTCTTCAGAAAATTTAATATGAATTCAAATATCATATAAACGTCCATTTTATTTATTGTATATATATATAATAGTGAATTTTTAAGCCCCTTGATTTTTAATGAAAAAAATATTAGTCAAAACATAGGTTTGAGGACTAAATATAAATGAAATTATTTTTAAATGACGTTCTCAGTTATATTACATTATTTCCTTGAAAGAAAAATTATATATTTTTCAGTTTCTTCTTTAACAACGTAACGCAATTTTAAACTCAGTGAAAGTTAATTTTTATATATTTAAAGTTATGTTCCTGAAGGTTAAATGATGCATGAAAAAATCGAAGTTGGGATATGTATTGTATAATATATATATATATATATATATATATATATATATATATATATATATATATATATATATATAAAATTTTTCATTGATTACATGTTTCATTAAATGGAAAATCCTTGTTGAAAACAACAAAAATACTTAAACATGAAAACAAATAAAAAAAAATCCCACTTGATGCATATATACATAAAACAGTTGAAACCTAACCTGAACAAAATAAACTATGAAATCTCCACAAATATTCTTAAATGCCTATAATTGGTAACAGAAGTCATTGGTTTATACCAACGGCTTCCCATACTTAATACTTCTCGTTTTCACTCTCGCGTGGTCATGTGTGACGTCATGAGCTGCGATAAGATTTTCACTTAGAGCGTCTTATATGCACGAGTCGGTCGTTGCTTGGAAATCTTCCATGTAAACAGAAACAGACTATTATCACTGTTTTGTCCGTTTATTGCTTAATATATTGTCATCTTTGATAACGGCTTATGTAATTGAAAAATTAGATAAGGAAAAAAAACATGTATAAATATTGTTTTTTTATTTTTTTCGTTTAATGATAATGTTATTAAACTTATCAGACGATATGAAAAGAATTTACTTTTAAAATAAATAGAACGTTTTGTTTATATTATTTAATGAAACATATATAAATATATATATATATATATATATATATATATATATATAAAATATATATATATATATATATATATATATATATATATATATATATATATATATTATATATATATATTTTTTTAAAACAATTCATCTTGAGTGGTGAATTGATTAAAAATGCACTACATAATTTAATTTTTTTTTTAAATTTTATATATATATTATATTTTTATACTTTTATACAATGATTTTTGATTTTTTAATTGTGTATTTTAAAAAAAAATAACTAAAATTAATTTTTAAAAAGTAACAATTTACCATGTAAAATAAACAAACAAAAAAAAACAATTTGTCATACAAAATTCATATAAAATTTTGTTTTATTTGCATACAAAATTGATTTTTTGAATTTTAAATCAATAAATATTTTTAAAAAAGTCTGAATTTTAAATAAGACATAAAAAAAAAAAAAAAATATTAAAATAAAACAAAATTAAACAATTTTTTTTATATTTAATCTAATAAAAAATTTATAATTATATCTTTATTGTTAACGATAACAAAATTCATAATTATATGTAATTAAGATTGTTGTTAAAAAAAAAACAAAAATATAATTTTTTCTTTATAATTATTGTGAGTAAAAATAAGATATCTTTGTTTATTGTTTATATAAAAGGTAACAAAATACATATTTTTTCATTATTGCTATATTGTACAAAATTCATAATTATATCTTATTTGTTGTTATTGTACAAAATTCTTAATTTTATCTTTATTGTTGTTATTGTAGAAAATTCATAATTTTTTTCTTTATTGTTGTTATTGTGCAAAACTCATGACTATGACTTTATTGTTGTTCTTGCACAAAATTTCATAATTTTCTCTCTATTGCTGTTATTGTACAAAATTCATAATTTTATTTTGGAATATAACATAAATATTTTCTAGAAGGTAAGAATTTTGTATGTAAAATGAACTGACACAAAAAATAGTGCAAAATTCATAATTTTTTAATGATTGCTTTTACGTTTTTGTCAAAGAATTTGTATATGATCTGACCATGTCAAGTTTGTTTAAAGATCGGGTTAATGAGCATCTTTTGTTTCTCGCTATAAAGTAAGTTAATTGTGGGAGAATACTTTGTACAGCATCTATTCTTACGCAATCACGAAGGCCTAACAGTGACAATATATTTCGTCTAGCAAGCTTGACGGAAAATTTGTTGCACTAGGATTTTCACAATATTTTTACAGAAAAAAAAAACATAAATTCGAACGTTGATCCTTGATTCCATTTCTTCGTAGATTGTTTTAAAATTTA